CCTGATAGGCTAGGGTCAGAGGGAAGGAGAGGAGGACTTCCCCTATCAGTGGACTGGGAGAGGGACATAGGTGGGGAAGAGGGAGGGTGGGTTTGGGAGGGAAGGAAGGAGGGAGGTACAGGGGGGATACAAAGTGAATAAACTGTAATTAACAAAAATAAAAATAATTAAATTAAAAAAGAAATAAAAGATTTGGAAGATAAAGAAAAGAATATATTTACTGTCAGGTGTGGTGGTGCACGCCTGTAATCCCAGCACTCAGAAGCAGGCAGATGGCTGTGAGTTTGGGGCCAGCCTGGTCTACAAAGGGAGTCAAGGACAGTCAAGGCTACACAGAGAAACTCTATTTTGAAAAACAACAACAACAACAACAACAACAGAAAGAATATATTTAATAAACGTGGTGATTAACATAATATTAGGCTTTGTGGGGGCGCAAGCCAAAGGAAATGAGTAACTGAAAACAGGATGAGCTCTCCAGGCATTCAGCTGCTGTTTCTGCAAGCCCTGCCAATGTGTCTGCATAGCTGGCTCTGGCAGTGGCTACATGGCCAGCTGAGCATACCATGCGTATTCATCTCTTGCCTTGGCTTTCTCACTCTGCAAGAAAGGTAGCTGAGAGATCTGCTGAGCTGGGCAAAGCAGGCTAAATAGGTTTTTCCACAGGGCCTTGCCTCTTTGTTCGGACAGAACCCCGTTAATGCTGGAGGCTTTAGCCCTTTCTTGAAATAAAAGCGAGTCCAGCGGAAGCAAGCTAGAAAAGAGAGGGATATGAACTCGGCACAGAAAATAAGTGCTTGAGAAATAATGAGTACAAGCTTGTGCTCCCTTAAAATGCTGGTTACAAAATATACTTGAATGTAGTCATCATTCCCAACTGTCAATGAACGCAACTACTGCTTTTCTCTTTTACCATAAATAGAAACGTCAAACATATGGCTTGACCTGACTGTGATCTCTAGACCTATTCAGATTTAGTTAGGAGAAGGTTCTAGAACACTGACAATTTTTCATTGGTTAGTGTTATGATTCCAGTGATAAGTGTCCGCAAAGGCACCCATGTTAAGGGCTGCTAGTTTTAACTGGTCACTACTCTGTGCCACCACTAAGACATGGGAGCTTCCTTTGGGTAGGACCCAACGGAAGAAAGTTAGGTGATGAAAGGCATGTCCTTCGAGGGGATGCTGGGACTCTACCTCTTTGCCTCCTTTCAATTTCCCAGCACCAGTCAAAACTGTCTGATGCAGTTGGGATGAAACTATATATGCATATAAATGTCAATTAATTTGTACATGATACATACACACAGTGCATTTAGAATTAATTTTTACTCAACCAACTTACTCCGTCTTCTGTCATAAAATATACAAAGCAACGCCATGGAACACTCTCAAGTAATAGATTTCTTTTTGTTGTTGCTCCCCTATTCACTGTATTTTCTATTCTGGTTTAAGTTGTGAAGAAAAAATTAGGAAAAAAATAGCTTATTCCAGTTGTGGTCTGAACATAAAATACCCTCCTCTGTCTCATGTGACTCAGTCTCCCCCGCTTCTGGTGCTAGTCTGTGAGGTTCTGGAAAGTTTAGGAGGCAGGACATGGCTGGAGGAAACAGGTCATCCGGGCATGCTGTTGGAAGCTGTGTCTTGTCCCACAGCCCTTTCTATTACTCTTGCATCTTCCTGTCTACCATAAGCATAGTAGTTTGGGACACATATTCCTATCTCCATGATGTAAGTTATTCTTTTCTACCACGCCGTCCTTACAGGATGGACAAGAGCTTCCCACACCATGAATCAAAACGAATGATTCCTCTTTTTCAGTTTTCTTTTCTAAGAACTTTGTCACACTGATGACAGAAGTGATACTGGAATTAAAACAATTCTCAAGCATATTTATGTGTGACTGTAACTGTGTAACTTAATTAAGCTTCCTTACCTTATAAAGTATCCTTGCAGTTTTTAAATGAAAACAGAATTAGATGCATATGATAAGAGTCTGCTATTAATTACAGAGAGGCAAAATTTTAAATCATTGTTGGAAATCAAAAGTTGGATAAAGTGGGGCTGGAAAGACAGCTCAGTAGTTAAGAGCATTCACTGCTTTCCCAGAGAACCTGAGTTTGGTCTCCAGCACACATGTCAGGTGGCTCACAACACTTTGTAACTCTAGCACCAGGGATCTGACACTTTCTTCTCCCCTACTGGGCACCTGCTCATGTACACACACACACACACACACACACACACACACACACACACACACACACCATTCTACACACACTTGAACTTTAAAATTTATCTTTAAAAGCTAGGGAGACAATAAAGTTGTTTCAAAATCTTTAAATTTTACCCTAGTAAAAATAAATCACTTTCACTTGCTCTGTTTAAATGACAGTCACATTTTAAAAGGTAGAAGAAAGCATTTTAAAAGTTTTTGCAATAAAGAAATGATTAATGTTTGAGGCGGTAGATATGTTTAATCCATTTAAATAATTTACAATGTGTCCATATATCTAAACATGATATTTCTTCATTTATGTGGGCAGTTTTTTTCTGTATCAGTTAAATATATTCATTTTAAAGAAGAAACAAAAGCAGACAACACTGGAAAGTGTTACAGTTTGAATATTAAGCATCTTCCCCATGATTTGGGGGAGGAACTTGTTGGAGACAAGGCTTAAAAAAAAGCTTAAAATTCTGTAAGGAGAACATACTATGTGCTTTTGGGAAGAGCTCCAAAGATCAGAATGAAGATAGGATTATTAACATTTGCTCACAAGGTTTCAGATGGACTTGAGATCACTCTTGGATGGGAGACTGTATGTGACGTTCTGAAAAAGAACATGTCTGGACTTTTTCTCATGTCCTGATACTTCATGAGATGCCAAATTTAAAGGTTAGAGACTAATCTGATGGGATAAATTTTGAGATAGCACAGTCTTTAAACTGGCATGGATGTTGTTCATTGTTTTTGCCTGGATTTATAGTGAGAATCAGGAGAAAAAGGCAGAGCCAAAGGGTTTGAACAACTTGGAGTTTAGCTTTAAAAGAGGAGCTCTATAAGGCTGAAACTATAAAGTGAGCTTGCTGGGCAGACTAGCACCAAAACAGCTAGCCAACTCCTTTGCACTGGAACAACAAAAAAAGATGCTTTGGTGGCATCTCAGAAACTAGCCAGTTCCCATCCATCAGTGGCTCAAGGGCATATAGACATAAAGCTTCTGAAAGACTTTGATTGGAGAAGATCACTCCAGGGACCCTTTCAGGCACAGGCTGCCAAGGAAAACGTTTCCTCTGAGCTCAGCTAACCAAAGCTCAGCTAACCAAAGCTCAGCGGCTGCCACAGCTATGGCTCATGTGGGTCTAGTTACTGCTCAAGCTGGCCACGGACCCTGATGACACTCTCTGAAGCTGATTTTGCTGCTTTGAGTCTTAGAAGAGAACAAATAAAGTTGGGCTTTTCGTGCGATGCTAGATAGTGTTTTTGAGGCTCTGGGGATTCCTAGAGATAGACTGAATGCAGCTTGTACCTTGGGTTGGCTCTCAGTCCTTTGGAAGCCAGAAGTGGCATGTTTGGATGGAGTATGAGATGGACCCTGTCCTGCTAGGCAGACTCATGCGTTGAAGGTTTGCACCTCAGCTACTGGAAGTCCTGAGAGATAACTGAATCATCACAGTACTAATCATACCAAGGAGTTAAGCTTTTGATGGGTTTATAATACGGGAGCCAGGAGGAACTGAAGCTGAGCATAAGAAACAGAATCCTGGGCATCACTTTGGAGAGCCTGACTTGTCCCTGGACCCTTTTTGTTTGCATTCCTGATTCTTGGCTGTCATGTGGTAGGCAACTGAATTTCCCTACACCCCTTTTCCATGATGCTCCAATTCACCACGGCCATAAACACTGGAGTCAGTTGACCATGGATAGAGACCTCTGAAACGATAAGTTCAAAAACACCCTCCCTTACATTGTTTTTATTAGATATTTTGTCTCAGAAATGAAAAACAAACAAAGAAGCTGCAAACCATATACTGTAGGAAGAGTGTCGAGAAACAAAGGCTTGGAACTATAATCCATAGAATAGGCATTCATAGGATGGGTCTTAGCACTGTTGGTAAGAGTGTCAACCTTTTGGTTTTAGATTTTCCATATTCTAGTGAGTTATTGTAGTAAATGGATTTTTTTCAGTTAGTTCCAGACTATTATTGTGAGCCTATAAACAGGCTTCTACTGTAGGGCTCTTCTTGCAGGCACAGTCCTTGTATTACTGTTAGCATTGTGTTGAACTTTACTAGACAAGAAGAATCCTGGACTCCACCTGGAGATAGTGTCCAGGCTCTATGTTTTCAAAGCTCCCCCGGAGACTGTCAGGCATCCCGGGGTTTGAGAAGCACCGCTCACATGTTACTGCTCACACCCTACGGAGGCCCACAGGATGGATATGACCTTTACAGAAACATGGGATGGAGTGTGTGAGGCATCCCAGAGTTTTCTTTATATTCTCATTCTGTAACCCTGGTGTTAGAGAGGTTTTCTAAGGAAATAATTCAAAGGGAGATGGAAATCTAAACAAAGCTATCTTTTCATGAAAGACGACACTATTATCTATGATACTTAAGTCAATGAAATAACCAAGAAAAAAAATTTAGAGTTTGTAAACTAGTTAAATATTTATAAAGTTAAAAATGCAACACTCACCAATGGTCATATACTACAAATATCAGCAAACTCTTGGAAATGACCAGTTCCATTGCCTTAGAGTAGTACTCATACTTAAAATTATTTTAATATAATTATAATTTTTATAAAAATATCTTAGTTATAAAATTTTAAGGCATCATTTAAAATCCATCCAACCCTCAGTACACGACTCAAAACCTCTTGCAATCATAGAAAACATTATTATCCAGCTGCCGCATAAAAAGCCTCAAGATCTATTATCTTTTTGACAGATGGGCAGTTAGAAAAGTTTGTCTTATAGGTAAAGATGCTGTCACTACCTGAGTTATCTTCATCTTTGCGGATTTTGAGCTTCACCAGGTCTTCACACTGCTGGAGGATTTGGACTGCGTCTTCCATGGAACAGTTGTCCAGCCGGATGTTATCTATCGCGAGCAATTTATCTCCAAGTTCTAGAGTTCCAGTTCTGTTAATAAGTGCACAGTATCACATGAGAAATGATGAATACTTATGCAGCCCATTTTAAAAGGCATTGAGTATAATGTAGCATTCTAGTGACGGTTAGTGAGAAAGCTCGTCAACTCTTTTAAAATTGTTCTTTATCAGCGAGCATCAATTTTTCCCCCTGCTACCATGGTAAGTTGCATATAATTAAAACATTTTCCTCATGTTTTCTTCAATTTAATCTAGGCATTTACTTAGGAAGTCTAGATATCCTTTGGGGGTACAAGTATCAGAGTCCCACATATCCTTGTGTTTCTCCCAGTCTTGATGAACACTCTTGATGCACTGTAATCAGTTCTGAGGTGAGAGCTAAGGGGATGAGGAAGCCAAGGTGAGTCAGAGTCATTGAGAACTCAGATCTAGGATCTTGGCTCTTCATGTACCTGAAAATGCATTGTGGAGAAGGGGACAAATAGAGATGCATCTGACATAACTATTTGGAAAGTGGCTCAGAGAATCCAGTCCTGGTTCTGGACCAATTACAGGCCTGTTCAAAGTCTTAAAAATCCATACTATAATGACAAAAGGAATGAGAATGTAATATATATGTGTTTATTATAGAGTTCTCTTTTATGTATTATGTCTGGGTTAGAGCCTACTAATTGTTTTCCAATATTCAATCTCTCTTTTCTTCTGCTGGGTCACCTGTGATAGAAGCTCTCTCAGCAACCCCCACGTCCTTCTATCCATGGATAGGAAACAGGGATAGCAAATAGGTCGATGGCTTCCCAGCTCTTGATTCCCTGACCACTTTCCACCTCTTACATGAAAAACAAAATTCTGTCTTCCTTTGATACATGATACTAGTAAGTATCTTTTTAAACACAGCTTTGCCTATAGTATGTAAATGAACTCTTACATTGCACTTCCTACCTTTTAAGGTTAAAATATGTTTTTAATGACTTTTTTTTTTATAATTACAGGTAGGGTTTTTAAAAGTTTTTATTTGAAAAATGAAAGGAAAGTTAACAATATCATATTGGCATGGTCGATTACTTAAAATGTACTTTCATCTGTGAAATAAAAAAAAAACGGGACTATCTTATTTAGATGTATTTAGAGATAAAGGAGGAGACCATTCTAGTTAGCTTTAATGCTCAATTTGATTTATCCTGGAGTCCCCTAAGGAAGGAGTGACAGTCAAAAGACTGCCCAGATCAGACTGGTCTGTGGATAGATTTGTGATGGATCCTCAATTGTTAATTGGCTTAGGAGAGTTCAGCCCACTGTGGGCAGCACCATTCCCTAGGCAGGCATTTTGGGGCTGTATAAGAAAAGGAGCTAAGCATGAGCTTGCAAGTGAGCCAGCAAGCAGGACTCCTGCACAATTTCTGCTGAACCTCCATGACTGTGAGTTCTCTGGTTAGAAGTAATGCTTCATGGAAGGTGGTAGGTACAGCTTCCATGTTCCTGCTTGAGACCCTACCCTGACTTCCTTCCATAAGGAACTATGATCTGGAAGTATTAACCAAATAAGTCCTTTCCTCTCCTAAGTTGCTTTTGGCTAGACTTTTTTTTTTTTTTTTTTTTTGTAATCGCATCAACAGAAAGGAAATTAGAACAGCGATATAAACATTAGTGGGGGCTCAAAAGTCTTATTTGCCCATAGGGTACATGATGACACCTAGCAAAGCCATCCATAAGCTATTTGTGTAGGAGAGATACTTCTCAGAATTAGGTAAGTTTTGAGGTTTTACTAAAAAATGGAAGATAGAAGATAATCTATGAAGAAAATGTTCTTACTGAACTCATACAAGACCCTAAAAATCACTTTCAGCTCTAGAGTACAGAAAGACACTGATGATAGGATACAGGTAAGAACGAAAATGCACACTCCTTACCTGTGTGCCACACTGCCTTTCTTGATATCTGAAATGACAAGAGGGTCCCCTGGTTTTCTACTGGATGGTGCTGTAATAACAAAGATAGAATGAGAAATCACATCTTCATATCCAGGACTCACCCAAGACTGTATGTTCCCCTCCTGCCTGAGAGTAACACCAGTAGGACTTTATATGGAAATCAAAGACATCCAGCAAATGGTTGGAGAGCATACATATTAGAGCTACAAAAATATTCATAGAAAAACACTTCCATGCTGAAGAGTGAGATGGCTGTTTAAGTTTGTAGCTGGAGGGCTGATCATCGGAGTTAGGCTGGTTCAGGTCAGTGCCCTGGAAGGTTGGCTCCTCAACAGGAGAATAATGAAGTCAACTTAGAGCAGCTCATATTATAAATGTGAGCCTGTCCTTACTCCTTTCTCTATGCCTCTCCATCAAGGTGGCATGGCTGTTGCCCAGAGTTCACCACGGCACATGGGGCAGCAGACACTGCTTTAAAGTTCCTGTTTTCCAGAAGGAAACCTTTTGGTGGGTGGACTATATAAACCTTCATGTTCTGCTCACAAATTCATACCTAGAAAGCTCTACAGTGATTTGGGATGTGAGTGCATGTTTTGTTACTATAGTAAATATTCTATTAGTTAACCAAATACATATCTGTGTATAAATTCTAAGCATGCACATACAACCCCTGTTAAACTGCAGACAGTATTATTATCAATCATAGTGCCATTTGATAAGAATAAAAACATTTTAAAAGAAAATCCCTTGGGATTAACTGGGGCTATGAGTTATATAGCCCAGAGAAGCAAAAAGAAACTATCTTTATTTGTAAAGTTTAGATTTCATTTAGGATAGCAACATTTGTTTAAAAAAAAAAAAAGACAAATGGCCTCTGGAAGAGATGTTTCGCCAACCCAAAGCTGGAAATGACTTCCTTTTAGAGAACATTAAGAGACCCCTAAAGTAAGACTTCATTATAAACAAGATGATCATCCCATAATAATCACAGAACCACAGCATATCCTATAATCCCATCTGAATCCCAGAAAAATGTTTATGCATGAGAACAGATGGTTTAACAGCTCAACATCATGGTTAAAGGAAAACCAACACCCGCAATATCTTACCCACTATCACAATTAGTCCTGAGTAAATGTTAATGAGATTTCACTCAATCACTATCCTTAGCTAACAGCAAAGAATATAGAACAGTCTATTAACTACAATTAACTCGTTATTTAATCCTTCTCTCAATGATTTGATATGATTTACCCATAGACACAAACATCTACAAATTTTCCTCATGACATACTCTAAAATAAAAAGTAATTCACAGCATTGGGTTGTATGTGTGCGTGCACACACACACACACACACATACACACAAACACACACACACACACACACACACACACAAACAGATCTTTATTACATGAAAGCATTATTCTTTCAGTACCTGTCAATGAATTTGCACAGTATCTTCCCAACCTGTAGGTACCATCATATAACATGCAAGAATTTCTTTTGGATCCAAAGACCCACCTTGCACAGAAATGACCCATGGAAAACCAGCAACAGGAGGAGCAAGAACATGCATCAAACCCACTCCTTTTTTGCAAAAGAGGAAAATGATATCATTGCAGAGAGGACAATCCTAAACAGTCCTTCCTGGAAGCCAGAAAGTTCATATGTCCATGGTAGCCATCCCGTCTTATAGATTCTCCTTTCTCCTCTAACTCCATCCATATCTGAAATGTCAAAGGTTCTTCTTGGCAGATGCCTACTGGAGTGAAGCTATTGAACACAGAAGTGTGTGCAAACCTGTGCTCTGTCTCTGTCACTACCAGGCACACAGACATGGCCATGAGTCCTCGATCAGGTGGCTGATGTTGATACACCTTACTGCAATGTTAAATCCTTTCCTGCTTAGAAAATAACAAGCCAAGCATATGCTGGTGTTAAAGCTCCTGGTACTTTAAAACCTACCAAGTGGGTCACTATTATTCATTATTAATAGTTTTTATACAGATATGCAGCTTTAGAAAAAAAACAGAAGGATAGTGTAGTGTAGTGGTTAAGAAATGGCATTTGATGGTCATAATGGCTGGGCTTGAAGTCCTGCCTGTAGTGCTTCTAGGTTGATGTGTTTGGGGACAAAGTCCTTAGGTGCCTCAATTCCTCAGCTGTGCAATGTGTGATGAATAGTCACAATCTTTATCCGAGAGTTTCTGTAAGAGGATTATGTGAATCTTCATAGGTGATTAGTTCAGTACACAAAGCATGCTCTGTCTACATAAGTGTTTACTGGCATTGCTGTCCAGCCACGCTGAACTCATTTTCCTTCTCCAGTACTTAAACGGAGCCTTCAGTCTTTTATTTGTCACTTTATTCGTCTTGATTCATCTGAACTCACTCGGACTGTGACACTTCAAGAACACACACTCACTCAGTGCTTTCGGTTTAATAGGAATTATCCATAGACCATGCACCCACTCAGCACATATTTCCAGAACACCAACTATGGGCTAGGCATTCCTATACTGGGTTCTGGGTGTAAAATCTCAGAGAAGCTGGTTTAAACAGGAGATGCTGGCTCCTTAGATCTTATGAGGCCACGAGGAACGAAATAGTGTTCTCTCTTTAGAGATGTCACTTCTGCTGAAGTAGCCGCCATGCTCCAGCGGATGCGGGGAGGCGGTGGTCCAGAGGGTGCATTATAAAAAAAAGAGCAAGCAGAGGTTGTGCTCTAAAAACCAAAGACAACAGTAGTTCCTTGAAATCTCAATGTGCAGAATTGAAGGCGGGACAAGAGATCAACATTGTGAAATTGTGTGCTACGTTAAGGAGGATTAAACTCAGCAGTGCCTGTTTTCAACTTATACTTAATAAATAAAGTAACTTTCACTTAAGATGCAGTTGTGTCGCCAATGTCACTGTTAACGCACTCAAGCAGTGATACACGAGTCGTCTACAAGCTTGCTCAGGACTAATCTAGTCATCTATGTATGTGGCATTACATAGTTGATTATTTTTGTTTCCCATAAATACATGTTTTTCAACCTCATAAGGAAACACTATGATGCCTTCCAAAATGTATGTATACATCTCTGTGTGTGTGTGTGTGTGTGCGTTTGTACTTATATGTGTCTGTGTCTGTGTGAGGGACAGAGGACAAACTCAGGTGATCACCATCAGTTATACCATGGATCTGCTTTGAGAGGGTTTTACACCGAGCTGGTGTCAACCAATTAAAGTGGACTGGCTAGCCAGCAAACTCCAGGGATCTTTCTGTCTCCATCTCTCCAGTGCTGGGATTACAAATGCGTACTGCCACATCCAGAATTTTTACATGTATTCCAAGTATGACACTTGGGTTCTCATTCTTGAAAGGCAAGCAGCTAACAACTGAGCCATCTTGACAGCTCTTTTCACTTTTGTCAAAATTGCAAGTTCATACAATTAGCTGGAAATTGTACACAAGCAAGTTTTGGGTTTCCTGTTTCCCAAGATGCAAATACAGGCGATATCTGCCTTTAAGATGACTCATTTATGATTTTGAGAATTGATAGTGTAAAGGTGATTTTTTTTTTTCAGTAGAAACCATGTGATATTGAAATTTGATATGTGAAGCAGGGAACACGTGGTATAACAGTCTCTTGTGATACTGTGCAAGGGCAGCAAGCCATAGCTTTCCGTGAGTCACGAGTCTGCAGGTAAACAACCCAGACCACAGTGTACTATATTGCGATGTTGTGTGCAATAGTTTCTATTTGTAATCAGTTTATTGGGGACATATCTCCCCATTCATTTGAGGAACACACACTTTCAATTTCTTTTATTGATGCCACTTACAACATAACATATGTTGGTATTTTGTTTTTCAATCTTATTCTCTTTTTACTTTGTGTTATGGACCATAGGGGTTTGCTTCCGTCCTTCCTAGATCAGCACCGCATTCACCTAGCTTCCTTGCCTTTTTGTTCTGCCAACCTAGTTTATTACAAATAACCTTTGCGTGACTGTGATGACAGTGTCCAGGAACCAGTCACGTGGCATCTAATTTCTCCCCGTTCCTGCAGAATTTTGTTGCATTCCCTTATTCTAGAGAGTTTACTAGTTCCTGCTTTTGAAGACATAAAGCTCAAAGCTTCTGAGGGTTTCTAGGAGAGACACTTTGTTCCGTCAAATGGGTGAAGGTCCACAGACTCATTCTTAGCTTTGAACTAAGCCTTCTGTCTGAGCTACACCATCATTTTATACACCCCAAGTTCTAGATGCTACTGATTCTTGAGCCTCTTGGGAATATAAGACCTTTTGAGGTTCCCTATCAGAGTACATTGCCGTTGTCTGTTTTCTTTTTCTTGATCTCCATGTAGGATTTTGCCAAAACCTCACATTTTGAAAAACCTTACATTTTCTCATTTCAAGATAGCATGTGCTTACCCTCCATTGTTTAACTTCAGCAGTGTTAAAAATCATTGACCATTCTCAAAGAGAGAAACCTTTATTTGTTTGTTCTTTGAGACAGGGTATCTGTGTGTAGCCTTGGATGTCCTGAACTTGTTTTGAAGGCCAGGCTGACCTCTAACTCACAGAGGTACACTTGCCTCTGCCTCCCTGAGTGCTGGGATTAAAGGTGTGTGCCACCACTCCTGGCTGAGAAACTTATTTTTACAGAAAAGATAGAAATCTGTTGTGCTTGTCACACAACACCCCCCTTTATGATTTTATAAAAAAAAAAAAAAAGAAAATTAATCCTTTGTTTCTGCAATGAATTCAGTGTCAGAAAGGCCAAGAAATTAACCGTGTGTGTGTGTGTGTGTGTGTGTGTGTGTGTGTGTGTGTATGTATGTATGTATGTATATATATAATGCTGCCCTTTGCTTTCTTGATCTAGGCTCTGGGAAGGTTCATCAATAAGATGCTGACAGGGCTGAACAGAAATCCAGTAGTCAGGCTGACAGAATGTGCTGGGATCCTTATCTTGCCTTTTATTAGCTTTTGTTCTTTGGATAGTTACACCACTAAACCATACCATTTTCCCTGTAAAATAGGCCGTCACAGGGC